AAACAGAGTGAAGATGGCCCATGCCTGCTCAGTGTCTCGTTCTTTTGTACAGAGGGCTGATGTGAGTCAGACTGACTTACAGGCACCCGACAACCACGAGCACAGTAGTTGCGATGAGGAGCCTTGGTGGCAGAACGGGGTACTTGTTAGGTTGTTGTTGCTGTTAGGTGCCGTCCAGTGGGTTCCAACCCAGAGCGATCTCACATGCAACAGAACTTGCTGGGCTGCTAAGCGTAAAGTCAGTCATTTAAACCCTTGAGTAGCTATGCAGGAGAAAAATGAGGATTTCCTCTCCTCAAATAGAACAACCTCAGCAATGCTGTATTGAGTTACTGTGTCAACAGATTCAACAGGGGTGTGTGTGTGTGTGTGTGTGTGTGTGTCAGATACAAGTTCACAACAATAGTAATACTTATATATGGTTGTGTATTAGTATAATAATATATGATTGTTACATAGGGAGATTTGTAAGCTGTAACGTGTGCAAAGGCGTATGGGAGTATATGCACATGTATGTAGAGGTATATTTATGGACATACATGTATGCATCCTTATATGTGCTGCATATTTATCCATGTACAATAAAACACATTCCGTTGTGCCTGAGGTCACTATGGGTCAGAACCAGCTCAATGGTACCTAACAACAACAACAACAACAAAACATACATTATGCGCATGTTAGAACCAAGTCAATGGTACCTAACAAAGAAAACAATAAAAACATATTTAATGCACTTGAAGGTATTTACTGGTTATACCCAAATGTATTGTGGAGTGGAATGGGTTTGAAGACTCAGGAGCATAGCCTAATGGGGCAGCTAAGTTAATTGGCATATCTTATTTGATAAATGTCAAAGAGAGTGATGGAAACCAAAAGTCAAAGGAGAAATTAAACCATAGAATTCAGATTCAAGATAACCTTAGGCTCTGCGAACCTGAGACCAGAAAAACGAGATGGCACTCAGCTACCCCCACTTGCCGTTCTGATCTGGACACAAGAACAGGACCCAGGTAACAGAGGAGGATCGTGTCAAACAAAGCTCAGTCATCAAAAGGACCCGACATACTGAAATGGTGGATACTAGGAGGAACCCCTGAGACACTTCAAGATATTCTTTAAACCCAGGACCAAAGCCACTCCCAGGGGTGACTTCTCAGCAAACGAATGCATTAGACAATACCACGAGTAACACAAATAGGGATTGTGCTCCTTTAAATAATCAACAATATGAGACCAAATGGTCAACTTTTACCCAAATGCAAAGATGAGAAGGCCGGGGTGGGGGGTGGGGGTAAGAAAGCGGAATGTAAGGAATGTAGTGGCAGGTCAGGGGGGAAGTCTGAGTGTTCTGGCGTCCTGTGAGGATGGGATCGCATATGTCACAGATCTGTTTGAGTAGGAATTGGGGAAGGGAATCTCATTTACTAAGGGCACTTACACCTAAAACACACTAACTTTGGTTCACCACCTTGGGATGTGAATGTTAAGACAAATCCCTAGAACTGAGTACAGGCCTCCTACATCCTCACTTCTAAGTGCTACATCCCACAATCTGTGTGTTTTAACCATTGTCCCGAGATTCTTACCATGTGGTTGCAGATGGGTGAGAAACGCTGAGCTAACTCCATATGAATGTCAACTTTAGCAGCACCTTGGGATGTGAATGTTAAGACAAATCCCTAGAACTGAGCAGAGGCCTCCTACATCCTCGCCTCTAGGTGCTACATCCCACAATCTGTGTATTGTAACCATTGTCCCGAGATTCTTACCATGTGGTTGCAGACGGGTGAGAAACGCCGAGCTAACTCCATGTGGCTGTCAACTTTAGCAGCACATCCCTGGCCCTTTGGGAATCCTTTACAAGGACCATCTCCACCCTCCCCAGCTCCACCACTGTGCTTGAAAAAGCAGAAACTCTCTCTCTCAGTGACATAGCTAGACTTCTTGTCCCAGTGCTCACAGGTGTCTCTAGGTCGCCCATGGTGTGATGACCTGTCACAAATGTACTGATTCTCTTCTAGTGACAGTGAGGAGCCTCCGGAAGCCCTTTCGGACAATGAGGTAAACATCTCGGTCCCAGTGAAATATGAAGCTCGACTACAGTTTTACAGGTAGGAGGAAAGAGCAATTTCATTTTGATGAGAGTTTATCTTTGCTACTAATTCATGGGTCCTCAATGCCTGCTCCCTGTCTGGCCAAGAGTGTCAGCAGTATTCCATTGTTACAGGTGCACATTCTCAGGCATCAGCCTACGAATCCGAAACGTTGGGAGTGGGGCCTACCAGTTGGTGTTAACAGTTCTTCCTGTTGATTCTTCCATGCCAGATCGTGTGAAAAGTAGCACACGGAATAGTTCAACACGTGAGGAGCTTGTGACATGTTGCTGCTAACCGAACAACAATGAGAGGATGATAAGATACTTTCATAGACTGTACTTCTCTTTCTTAAGTGTTAAGTTCAGTCCACCGTTTTCTCATTTACTGAATGCACCTCTGTTGTGCATTGCGTTTCCCCATGCATTTTCCATGTACTTCAAATCAAATCTTGGCAAATAACTTCTAAATATTTATATATATTTATATTCTCT